GCTCAGCTTTTTAATACCTATGCAATGATTTATCAATGAATCCAAATATAAGTAAAGATAAAATGAATATAACACATCCATTACTTGTTCACCTTTTTATAATTTTAATAAATAGTACATATCTAATAGTCCAATTACTTACTAGATGATTTAATATTCTGAATTTCTATTGCTATTTTAAAAATTAGTGTTGAGAGTATTGGGGTCAAACATAGTCTATGACTCCAGTCTTCAACTCTTTAGCAACCATCAGCCCATTGAGTATTTTTGATATTTTATATCATTCACTCACCAAAGGTGTACAAATTTTTAAATTCATATAAAATAAATCATTATAACGTTTTTGCATAGTATAATCGTGTTAATATATGTTTGCCATGTATGTAATAAAAATACCTTTGTAGAATGAGTCCATGTTACTTATTACTATATTTATAAATATTTTGCTGTTGCTCTTTTGTGTGGTGTASGATTTCATTATTTCAGTGAGGAGAATCACTATTTGCTTAAAATTAAAATTTTGTTTGGCCAACCAAAGTGCATCAACTATCACAAAATTACTTAATTAATTTCCATCTGTATTATTTTATCTACTGCTTAATTATTCGTACWAATAATTTTCTTGAGCAGTTTAACTGTTGTAATATTAGCTAAAAATTAAAATTCCAATGGAATATTATCATGTAACCTCATCATTATTTATTGTTTTTTCTACCCTTCAACTGCTTTAGTTATTGCCGTTCCTTAAGATACATTAAAGATATATTGTATTTAAAATGTGTACAAATTATTTTAATTATGATACATGAATGTTTAATTTATTATAGTTTCAAATAGTTGCATATATACGGCATCAAAATATATTTTACAAAAATGTTCTTTAAGACATTATCTATTATTATTATTTATCAATTTTTAATAATACTATTCCGGTTAAATTATTTATGTATATTCTATTTTTTGTTACTTCCAGAATATTACTATTACAATGAATTTAAGTGATGATGAATTTTATGATTCTGATGAGAGTGATGTGGGCGAACAAAGTTTACATGCTATGCTTAATAAAACTCTTTACGACAAAGAAGATGAGTATGAAGAATATGGAGAACACATTGCTGGCGAAGTAGAAGCATTAGGTAGTGTACAAGAGGAAGTACTTGGTAAAGTTACTGATGATGCTAGTCAAGAAGAAGTTCTAGGTCCAGTATATAGTGAGAAAGAAGATACAAATGAAAAATCAATAGGGCCAGAATCAACATTTGTTAAAAAATTAGAAGATGCTGAAGAAGTAGTTTTAACTACAGAAGTTATAGGAGAGTTAGAAAATAAACATTTTTTTGATGGACTTGATGATGATAATTTTGAACCAATAAAAAAAAAACCAAAACTAAGCAATGAAGATGGTAATAATGCAAATCCTCATAAAACTATTGTTATGCATATACCTCAATTCATTCGATGCAACAAAGGTGGTCAATCTATTCAAGTTCAGTGAGTTTTATTTTATGAATATAATTAGTAGATTAAGTAATTTATTCACTACTCAAATACATTTTAACTATTAAGTTATACTTTTCTATTATTACAGAAATATTGTTTGTGGTGCAAATATGGGATGTCCTCTGGACTTGGTAAGAATCGTCATGTGGACTAGTAATTCTGAGTATAACCCACAGCGATTTAATGGATTAATTATGCGTCTTCGTACACCTAATGTCACCAGCTTGTTATTTCCATCAGGCAAAATGATCATGCAAGGCGCTAAAGATGACCGAACTGGAAATTTAGGATGTCGAAAAGTAGCAAAAATTTTAGAGAGACTTGGACACAATGTTAGTTTTATATTATATATCTTCTTATATTGTTATTTGATAACCTAACCAATTGATTATTTAGGTACAATTTTGTGACTATACAGTGCAYAATATTGTTTGTACATGGGATGTTGGTTTCCCAATAATGTTGGAAGAATTAAATACTGCTCACTCACAGTTTACCAGGTACTTAAATTTGTATTACAAATGTTTTGTTTTTCTACTAATTTGTATAAACCTAACTTAATATACAATTTAAAAACTTCATCTTAAACATATATTTATTATCTGTTATATATTAAAGTTGGATTATTTTTATAAAATTTTTTTGAATAATTAAGTCCTAAATATAGGTAGTGTATTTATTATTATTTATTTTTATTTTTCATATTACAATTAAAAAAAAATATTACTAAC